AAGAAAGGGGGAACCAATCACAATGATTGACATATAACCCTCTCCCCCCCCCACCCAAGGGGGATGGACAACAGAAATGTGGGTGAAGGGAGACAGTGGACAGTGTAAGGCATGAAAATAATAATAATTTAACAAAGGGTTGTGAGAGTGGGAGGGTGAGGGACGGAGGGACAAAAGAGGAGCTGATACCAAAGCCTCAAGTAGAAAGAAAATGTTTTGAAAATGATGATGACAGCATACGTACAGATGTGTTTGCTACAATTGATGTATGAATTGTTATAAGAGCCGTAAGAGCCCCAGTAAAATGATTTATGGAGAAAAAATAATTCATATGCTAGATATTTTGTACAAAGTATATCTTCCCCACAATGATGGCTTTCATATAGTGGAGACCCAAAATCCACCCATAAGATAATTGGAGAGTCCTTTTGAGAAGAGCCACAAAAAGGGATGAAAAATCCCTTAGTATTGTGGTTTTTATTTATTTTGCCTCATTCATCATGTTAGATATCTATATATGTTTATTTGTATGTTTAAGATCAATAGGTACATGAAAACCAAGATAGATAACCCTTGAGAAACAGTAACAGGAGTAATGGTTCCCTGGGGGTACAGGAAGAGAGTAGGGGGTGGGGAGTGGGAATAGCAAGTTGATAGCACTGATGCTACTGTATAACCCTACTCGGTGCAATTGAACAACAGATTGTATGTGAATGGCTATATCGGATCATGTAAGCTATGGCAAAAAATCATTATACGGAAAATTAATAATAATAAGGGTCCCTGAGGGGTAGGGTGGGGGAGGGAGTGGATAAAGGGGAGATGATATCGAGGAGTTCAAGAAGAACGAATGTTTTGAAACTGATTGTAGTAGCAATTGTACAATAATGCTTGATGTGGTCGAACTATGGAATGTTTATGATACGTGTAAAAGCTCCCAATAAAATGATTAAAAAATTTTTAAAAAGAAGATGGCTTCCTTGTGAGGGAGAATCATCACTATCATTCCCATTTTGGACACAACAGAACTGAGACAAGAGGTGGAGCTGTGTGCTCAAGTTCACAAGCTACCTCCTGGCAGAGGCAGATCAGGAACGCCACAGCCGGGTTGTACATTCCATTCTCTGGAAGACTGGGTGACGGACAGCCTCCCGGCTGCCACTGACCTGACACATCCGCTTCTACATCATGACCTCGCGGATTAATTCACTTAATCATCTTAGTGAGGAGGTGGAGAGAAAGAAGACATGATATCATTTTAAAATCCAATGGAAATAAAATGCTAATTTGAAAACTGCAAGCTCCATTTAAGAGGTAATGCGCAAACAAGCCTTGGGTTTCCGACTGACAAAGAAAAGCTGCGCCGTAAACAACAATCAGTAAGAACAAGTGAAACCGGAAGGACTCGGGTCAAGCCGAACAATGTCACCAGGGAGTACACCATTCCGCAGTGCATCAATTTCTCGTCATCAACAAGAAATATTTACTGAGTATTTATCACGTTGAGGGCTCTGTCAGAACCACTTAGCCCACCGTGGACCAGAGAGAGGTCTTAAGACGTCTAGGGGAGCAAGCCGGGATGCAGGTGTGTAAGGGTAAAGTGTACAGGTAAGTTTCAAGGTTCCTGTCATAGGTCACATCCTTCTTGGCGTCCTCATCCTCTGGGACCCGCCTCATCCCTCAAAGCCCGGGCCAGGAGCTCGCCGGGACTTCTCTGAACCGTTAGTGTGCTGCAGCCAGCTAGGACGAGCTCACTAGAGTCTGTTGTTACATTTTTAAGAATTTTGAAAGCTGTTCAACATATCAATGATTCGGTAATACATTTCATATTCTTACAATTAAATACTATTTAAAACACATGTGGTAATGACTCAAAATTCAGTCCTCAGCTATTTCGTTCCGTTGTACTAGGATGGATGGTCTTACTAAAGTTAGTCAGGTCTTGTACAGTGGCAATAGTAAACAATGCTGTGCCATTGTGCCGCTCTTCCACACTCAGGTCCAGTGATGTGTAAAGAACGTGAATCTGAGGGAGCATTTACACCCCGGAGTGGGGGGAAAATAGGGCCTTCTACTCCTGCAAAGAGTGACCGTCTGGAGACCCACCAGGGCAGTTCCACCCTGTCCTGTAGGGCTGCTATAAATCGGAATTAACATGATGCAGTGAGTTTGCTAGGGGTTTACACCATGTAAACCGGCAAATACTATTTCAGGGTGTAATGCATTGCTTTGCTTTTTGTCTAGACTTAAGAAAGTGAGTTAATGCAGATAACATTTTTAAATAG